TAGCCAATCTATTGGCTCTAATTGAATGACAAAGTCGTGCATGACAAACGAAAGTAAATTGAACGGGCAGAAGATCTCTGTCTCTGAGCGTTGACAGCTCCCATATAATTGGCGACAAATCAGTTTTAATTATTTCAATAAACTCGCATACGTGTTGACTGACACTTAATACTGGTAATTTTTAGTATGATGTCGTTAAAGGTCTCGCACACGTACTCAACTGCAACGTCAACAACATGAGCAGAAGCCATTTTAATAATCGCACTTCAAAATGCCCTTCAATTAGCAAGTGGAATGTGTAGTGCATGTCCTTTCTCTTTCCCTTCCTCTTCTTATCATCCACTTGGCCAATTGTTAAGTAATCAAGCATTAAATATGTTTGACGCGTTCTCGTAACAAGTCTATTCGAGACTCAGTCCTGTGTCATTATTAAACTAATTAGTTAGTGCTTAATTAGCATGAAATTTATAATAAAATAAAATATTGTTAATTTTAAGCATATATTATTTTATATTTATTTTTTGTAGTAAATCTCCACTACTTATATATCTATGTATATATTCATAAAGTACATATGTAATACAATATATAAATATATGTATATATATTACAGAACACATTTCCAGCATCCCTCGCCACCGCTTTCATAGAAGACTAACTGATGCTACGTAAATGTGTTCACGTTGCGTATACGACGCATGGACCGTACATTCCAAATGGTATTTGTGTTTGTTCTCTTATTTATTGGCTTCTAATGTCACTGGCTTTTATCCCCTGGCCAATGTCCGATGGCTCAGCAGCTCACCAGCTCAGCAGCTCAACTTGTCGTTTATTCTGTCAATTATCATTAATTTCGGAATGCTCCTGTCTTCGCCAAGGCTATCGCACCTTTTGCACGCCTCCCCGCTACGTGGCTACGTGGCACGTACGCCGCAGTTAAAATGTCTCTAGCCATATAAATTGTTATTGCTTGAGCGTATAATTTGACTCCCGCTTTGGTCAATGCCTTTAAGAGCCAATGCCAACGCATGGCATATTTGTTGATAGTTTGCGGGGCGTGGCTAGTTATTCACACAGATCTTGTTGATTTATATTCATTGCGTTTTAATGACGGTTTCTGTGTCATTAGCCAAATAGATAACTAAGATATCTCCAAAGACAACACCTAAATATATATGTCTATAATTTTTACAAAGATAGCAGATTTAGAATATATAAGTATATAAAAATTCATTTTAATTTAAGAATATATAAAGATATAGGCCCGCTGACTTTTAAGCCAGGTTAGTCTCAGACATA